TACAAGTACCGTCCACGCCGCAAACCGAAGAACATCTTCAAACAGAAGGACAAACAGTATGCCGGCTTCAGTTTGCCGTGTCTGCACTCACAGATGGACTCACTGATGTTTGGTCGCGGTTTCGCGACGACTTTCGACGCTGAAAAGGCGGCTCGTGCGTTCCTATCACCGCCCGCCGTCACCTATCCGTCTGGAAACGGATTTTATCCATCCAGATTCGATGCTTCGTCGGCAGAAGCGGTAAGTAAACTGACCGATATGTCCAGCGCGTTCCACAAGGCTACCACCGAGTTAGCTCAGGCCGCCGTGGCCGCCGCAGCTAACACATCTTTCTACCATCCTACAAACATTTATCACCCAGGCTCAGCTGCTACTCAGCTGCCAACGTCCTTGTTTGGCAGCAATCTGCCAGTCGTTAACGCTCCTTCCGCATTTTCTGGTACTCTAAATTTACCGTACAGTGGGTCTTACGCAGCTACGATCAACTGCGGCACTCCGCAGGACCCAATGTCTCGGTCCGCAAACTTGGCTGCGTACCTTAAGCCCGAATACATGTTCATCAGACAAGATGCCTCGCCGACCGCTGCCGCATCGTACATTTACGCCGGCACGACTCCTTTGATTTGATAGCGCTGTACACGCATCCGTCCATCGTACCTAACCGACAACGTTAGTTCCCCCTTCCCCGATGTTTGTGTCTCTGTCCTGTGCTTCTTGATCGAAATTTTATGCTGAGGCGAATGAGGTCGCAATGCCTCCTGCCGCCGCCGACTATATCCGTGTATATGTGTCTATGTACGAGCGGTCGCTGGGTTAGAAAAATGCTCACTGCTGCTGTCGCTGCTGTGCGCTGCTTGGAACGCCACCGAACGTTGAGACGAACGCGGCAAGCGAAAAGTCGCTTTGTGCTGCGGCCATTTTGTGCTCTTTGTTTCACACTTTCTATTGGTCATTTGTTTATTATTCCCGGTTGGTCTTGTTGCATTGTGCCAGCTGATTGATAGCTGCTGTTTGGCTAAAGTGACTATTATTTGGCGGATGAACATTTGTCTAATGAATAAAGGCGGTTTTCAACGTTAACAGTGGTTGTTTCTCAAAACCAGTAAATCGAGCGTTATCATCAGTCCACCAATAATAGCAACAACGTGAAGCGCAAATACGACTGAATTTCGTCTGACCGCTTCAGCCCGTGTACCTACGTGTGTGGTCTACGGTTCACGGTGCAAATGTTATCATTTGTAACCGTTTCCTCACGAGCGTGCTCAGAAGGATGGTCTGCCGTTAGTTAACTTACAGTCACTGGTTACAAGACATGATCAACGAACGCCCATTTGACCTGCTGAGGCCACAACGAAATCAGACAGACCGACTGATATGAGGAAAACACGTCGGATAACAGTAATTCATAGGTTATCCATATATGAAACGTGTGGAAAGGAGGAGCTTCCGCACCTTAGAAGGAAAGATATGATATTATACAGCTACAGTTTGACCACAGCCAGAATAAATGCGATAACCGGTAACCAGTATATGACGACGAATGACAGTTCTTCTAATGAAATTACATGAAGGGACAACGACCTGTCGCCGAACGTAAAGGCACGAAAACCTGCAGAAGTGTAGATTTCATCAGGCGGACAGAATAGAGGAACGTCCGCTTTCAGCAACGATACGGTTTTTCCGCGTATTGTGTAGCTTTGCCTCAGCAAAAACAGTTACGGCAGCTGACAGGGTGACGTTAGTCTTGTCACAAAGTTGCAAACCTATTTACCCATTCATCAAGTCAAATGCTCTTTGAACACTAAAGCCGTTGCCGTTGTGACGCCTTTATTTGGTTGCCGAACCGCGAAGATCATTGTTGAACAAACCTTTTTCGATCAACTTATTACCTATTTTACCGTCAGGCCACAACGGGACCAATGTTTCATGCTTCGGTGGTGAATGAACGCCTCAGCTGGAGGTGAGTGATTGCCATGCAAATGTGAACATGAGTCTAAAGCACGAAACGCGCCAGCGGCGTTACCCGGCAGCGCCGGATGCGACGGCTAGCCATTGTAGTTGATGTGAGCGGACGTGCTTCACGCAAGCAGCGACAGCCGAACAGATCACAATTGGCTTCTTTATTTCTGGCAAATCGTACTTCAAGGGATGCGACAGATCGTTTCACACTTCGTCACGAAATCAGCTAAGCATTGTGCACGATGTGTGCACATGCTTTTGTGTTTCAATGGACACAAACCGGCTGACAATGGACCTCCGCGTAGCGTCAGGCACATTCCGCAAGCATTACTGAAAGGCTCTATTCATCGCTTTGGCCTTATTATGAATAAACGATTATCCGCTACGCGCGAATAGTTTATCCCAGGTACAGCCGAATTGCATGCCATGACACGGCCCTTTAGGCACACCGCGCGATCCGGTCTCCGGTCACTGGTCATCGGTCGTGGCCGGTCGTCAGTCGCACGCTTTGATGACCATGGGAAACTAATTGCACGTCACCCAGTAGAACAACAGCGGTGCCAAACTGTCTGCACCAACCGTAAAGCGATTACGCATTTACGGCCGTGCGAGGTGGTTCAGACTTGCTCGTAAACGGACAATAGTCATAACAGTAAGCCGAAGCGGCGGCACAATGCCGTCATAATGGTCACGCATAAAGTACACAAATATGGGTGCGCGTCGGTCATAACGTCCCGCTTTTTACACTTCAGCAAAGTTTACGATCGTTAATTCGAAATCTTAGCAGTTGTCATTACATGACAATATGAAAAACGATTATGCGCCGGCGCATTATGTGCCGGCGAACGCTGTGAATCTTGATGGACAGAACAGCCAGTTCACCGATGCCGAATGTTTCCAACAAGGTATGGCATTTTTTGCTAATGCCGTTTCGGCTTCGGCGCTTCGCAACGTCATCCGTCCGTTCACTTGGTCAGAAAAGATGCATTTCACTCGCTTCGCCGTCCTCCACACTGAGCCACTGCATCGGGCGGCCATTCGCAAAAATGCCGCATAAAGCGGCGCGATCATTTGTTGACGACGGAGGTTTTTTGCCGTCGACCGACGCGGGAAAAAACGCCATTTTTGTGTTTCGTTTTCTAAGCATACGTTTTCCTCCGTGTCCCGATTTGAGTAAACGATTTCACCAGCAATTGATCAACTGCGCGCGTGCGTGCGTGCAACACGACGACAACCGCTGACGAACTCGCAAATGACACAGACGTCATCATATACGGTACCCCAAGTGCTCCCCTACATGGTCCAAAGTGTCTCGCCGTCGAAGGTCCGCCAAGCGGCGACGTTTCGCCATTTCGTCGCGTCTATATTCCAACCTTTCATCTTCTACGTGCGCATGTTTCAGTTTCCGCATATTAGCAAATATATATAGCGGGCAGCCGAAAACTCCAGGATAATCGTACCCCTCTCTCAGCTCCATCCGCCGGGGATTCCACTGCTCAGGACTGTGAACTGCTGCAGCTGATGAGCATCGAAAATATCATGATCTTTCCCAAGATTTGGTTCGATTTTTATCCTGCGTACGAACGCGCTGAATAGACTTGCAGTGACTTCTTGGCTTACCTCTCCTTTTTTCTGATCACTCTCACTCCAAGTTCCTCATCCATTCCTCACACAAGTGAATGGAATATTTTGCAGACAAAGACACCTCATATGCCAAACCTGATTTTAAAGACTGTCAGTTTGATCTGCGGTTTTACCCGCTTCTCTAGATTCAGAAACGATCATTTGCCCAACTGTAACAGCTGAGGGTAAAATATTTAGCCTATCAATATCTTTGCTTCGTTTCATCTAGAATAGAGAAGCTCCCGTTTGTGATGATCGATCTGCGCTTTGACTTGGTTGCACACTTAGCTACTCCATTCTCTCAGTTTCCCGATATTTGCGGTCTTACACCACTTAAATAGTATGCAACAAGCTGTCTGAACCCTCTCGCTCATGTTCGCCAAATGACCGTGTGTAAAACATTAAGTTATACTGTAACTCATGGAAGATCGGTCGCAGATGCGGAGTCTACTCTTCTAAATATCTGTTAATCCGCAGCAGCTCCCAGAAACGTCTTCATGCCAACTCACTGTATCACCGGTATGTAAGATTAAATTTATTGATATGTCTTCCTGTCTGAAGATAGAGTAATTTGTTCGTGAAATCACAATCATACTGAAATAACATAAATATAACGAAGCTCCCATGGTCAATTAGATCGCATCGGTCATTAACCTGATTATGCTGTGTTTTAATAAACCGTGCTTAAGTAGTATTTCAGTGCTTCTCGTTGACCGAAACCTAATGAACACCAGAGAAGACAATCAACCACTATAACCGCAGTTAATGCTGGAAGAATGCCAGTACTCCTCACCATTCTGCAATGTGTACGGTAAATTCTAATGAACGGTTAAGATAAATGGTTCCCGTTCATTTATGTAGCAAAATGACTAGGTGGCACTGAATTCAATTACCTAACATCACACTCGTACATGCTTGACAGATGATTGTGGAGATCAGCGGATTTTGGAAAAACTGATATTTTTCCAACTGCAGCTTGTGTAACATGACAACTGTTGCTTCAAAACACTGACCATTTTCTTAAACATGTCTCGGAACGGAGTTAATGGCCTTCATAGTGTGTCGTTTAATCTTTTCAAGGAAACGCTTATGTGCGGTAATGATCAATGTTCATCAGTAACAGTCTATTCAAAAATTCATTTCATCTAGAAACTCTTGGTCTCGGTTTCAATTCCTTTGAAAATTGACAGAAAATGCAGAGCACTTGCAAAGAAGGTTAAATTCTATACATTCGCGTTTATTTCTAGAATTAGCTATCTCGTATCTCTGAGCAGATGACTGATATATCTTCACTAGATGTTATAATGACTTCTAAAAACAACATAGCATTAAATGACCAATATCGGTCTACAAAGTAGAACTGATCACATTCGTAGCGTCTCGAAAGAATGCACAAACTCGCAAAAACATCTTGACAGTCTTATTAGATTTCTATGGATGAATCAACTTAGATTAATCCGTATTACTGGAGAAGCTGTGCTCTTTCTCCTTCTATTTTTGATACGTTAAATTTAAAGGCATGTTTTACATTCTGCGGTTGTCATTAGCTGATTTTTCTTACCATTACTTACAAACTTACACGTTTATTCTCCGTCACATCCGCTTTATGTTTTGTCAGCTACTGGATTGGCGAAGGACTGTGTATCATGAAAAGCTAGCGTAATCTATGGGTTAATTTAATCCAGGTTGAGTACGATCTGTCATATTGAGGTCAGAAAGCATGACGCTTCTTCACAACCTCACCTGAAATAATATAGATGGGGCCCCTCAATACTTTCATCTGGTAATAGCCCTGTATCTTTCTGTTAAACTGATTTGTCTTAAAGATTTAAAGAAATGCGTGTACTCTAGATTGTCATTACTTAGCTGGCCGACCGTACTGGGGTGTATAAGCAGGTATTCACTGAAGAATGTGCACTTCAGTTTGTCCAGGCATGCTTTGTTTGCACTTTGGTTCATGACGTTCTTGACTAAAATGTTCTTGCACGTCCAAGTCGATTACGCTCAGCAACGAACGTTTACCTCTTTCTAACATAGAGTCTGTTGATTTAGCTTACAGTTTAGAAACGTATTAAATGCTTCTATGCAGCTGCCGTCTGTATCGTTGCTTTTCAACACGGCAATGAACAGCCATCGACTTCTCATGAACATCTGCATTAAACGAAAACAGCCAAACATCTGTGCATTGAAACAGATGTAATTATAAGTTCATGTAAACGTTTCAGTCGATTAGGAAATTACACTATCTTTAACGTTCTTTGACTAACTTTGTCAGTTCAGCCGGTCAAGTTAGAACTGTAGAATACTTCATTTGTACGCGTTGTAAAGTTGCTTCTGCTAGCTTCTAGCACGAAAGACTATACTTTTAATCAACATTTCCAATTGGCGTGTGCTCTGTGCTCTGAACGTAAATTGCAAAGGGCTTTGCTCATGACCATCGTTTCATGCAATGAAATTGATCAAGAATTCTGCCAGCGATTAAGCGATACTTAAGAGGCACGTTTGGAGTGGTGAATAGATCAAATCGTTCCGTCAAAGCGGTTTAGTGTTCAACTTCAAAAATTTGGTGCGAACTGCTTTCGTCAACAGTTTAACGACATCTGCTTTACGCATAATTCAACTCTATAAACTTATTGACAAGCATTTTCTTATATACTGTAGATTATTCGCCACTTCATGGCTGAGAACCAACTCCAAACAACGATGCTACTGCGTGCGTAGCAAAACGCGTTGGCAATAAATTGCTAGCATCTGTGTGTTCAGTCTGAGCACAATTTCAACAATGGGACCAGGATCAAAACTGTAATGTCATATGTATTTCTTACATTTCCTGATATTTCTTATATACTTCTGCGTTTCTCTGGCTTTGCATTAATGGCATTCCTTTTATCGCTTAACTTAATCGAAAAGGCTAGTACTTTCTAATTCATTAAATTCCACCTTTCTTTTTAAAAAAAATTATCCAAATCCTATAAATGATATCGATATTCCTCAACTCTGAATACTTTATTCTCAATGTCTGAACACAAAACACCACGATGGTTTGAACGATGTATAATACATTTGAACCTTTTAGTCACACTAGCTCAGAAAAGTGCCATCTGTCAAGTCCACTGTCCTAAGGACATGGATGGCATTTTTTCAGTTTAACTATACTTTGATCTTGCTGTGTTCCATACCATAGCACTTTCATATTAGCTTCTGTGGAAGTATAGCTTTACATTCGAAATCACTGTTGTTCCTACAATGTAATGAATGACGGTTATTATGTGACTTAACAATAAATTGGATAACAGCTTATATGCACACATTACTTTGGAAAACTTCGTGGGTGTGCAGTGCCAAAACGGAGTCACTAACTTTGCACTAGACATTCTTTGACTAGTCCGAAATCCTATCACCTGCTCTGTTGAGGAATAAATCAATACCTTTCCACTTCAATAACATGCCTGATTAGAACTGTCATTCAACATCATCTTTGGAAACATCTGCGCAATGCGATAATTCTCATTTCCAATCTG